TACCACTGTAAATCTGCATCATTACAAGTACAAGTCTTGCATGAAAAGTGCATAGGCATCAGCAGCAAAATGGGATTAAAGTAATAAACCTACAATACATTATTATATATAACACCATTAGATTACTAATATTGAAGCATCAGTGTGTCTGCAGCATGTTATTGTTACGGTTGCTGTAGTTTGAACTACTTTATATCCAGTTTTATAAACAGGGACAGAAGATAAATCTGAAGGTTCCAAACATTAGTAATGGAAGAAAAACAAAGAAAAAAGTTGTGTTCAACAAATCTGTTTTCAGCTTTTGAGCTTTTTCCTTTAATCCTTTTAGTTGACATATTGCATCATTTTTGAACAAATATTGAAATGAAACCATGTGAGAAGTTTGGAAGAGAAAAAGCTATTTGGTGGAGCTGTTAACAGCTTGTAGACATCTGAAATGTGACCCTGACAACACACTAAACAGCCAAAAGGGTTAGAAGTCACTGTTTTAATCTTTTACAGTGTGTTTTATTTTAAAGGTTGTCATATTATCAATTGTATAAAATCTTAAAATCTCTCGAAAAGTAACTAAAGATAAATGTAATGAGGTAGAAAGAGTGGAAGTATAAGTTGAAATACTCAAGTAAAGCACAAAAACATCAAACTTGTCCTTAAGAACACCTGACTAAATGAACTTGGTTATTCTACATGCATATTCTATGCTAAACCTTTTTAATTTGCTGAATAATTATGACTAAACAGCTGCACACAGAGGTGATGATTAAACCTGCTGGAATACAAAATACACAAATACAGGTTCGATTCTAACTGTAATTGTTTCATTGGTGTTTATCAGTGACTGACAGCAACTAAAATACAGTTCAAAATCTGATGTGTGCTGGCCGTGTCCATTTGTGGATTTAGATGCTGATCATTTCTACCTTTGAGCTGTTCAGAGGATTATTCTGCTGTTTGAGTGATTCTGGCAGCTTCTACCAACGACAGGCTACCAGCATGTTTCTGCAGGTTTGGTGAGAAGTAGCTGGCATTCACAGCAGCACCAAAGCGCTAACAGTGGCACTGTGTTTATTCTGAACACCTGCTCTTTTTTCTTTTTTTCTTTTTTTTTTTTTTAAATGGGTGAACAAGAGCTTGGTGGAGCTTTTCCAGATCATAAAATGATGAGAAACAGATTGTCCACACGTGGCAGTGAAGGGAAGGTGAAGGAGGAACAAGACAAAGGAGGAAGGTTGATCTGCATCAACACACATTCAGTAAAAACCAGCAAACACGAACACACACTGAAAAGTTTAACGTCTGTCAAAGATGCTCAAACTAAAGGTTCCTCTTTATTCCTTCACCCCTTCACACCGTCTGAGTTTCTCTGCTTCACTCTGCTTCCACAGCAAAGAATAAAAATCTGTGTGAGACGGTTGAACCAGATGTGTCCGAGAGCTTCAGCAGCAACCTCACACTGACAGGGTCACGTCAGCATCCGTGTGTGTGTGTGTGTGAGTGTGTGTGTGTGACAGCTACACTCCTGAGACGGTTCAGTTTGACGTATTGGTGAACTCGCTCTAAACAGTATCTTGAATTCCAAACTCACTAACTCACCTGCAGCTGGACTGTAGGACAGGATGATGGATTCGGCTGATGAGGAGAGTGAGTCGAGTGTTTAATGTTTTTTTTCACAAGAGCTGTAACTAAATATTATTTTCATTACTGATTGATTCATTTGCCAGTCAGACACTTTGTCATCACTGCAGGAGAAGCACAGGAATAAACAACAACAGTAAAGATGATTGTAGTCCATGTGGGTGATCCGGTTTTAGTTCCCCGTCATGCCTTACTGGGACATTAACCTGAACTGAGCCATCCTACTTTCCCTGCTGTGAAATACGATTATAATATATGGAGCAGGTCTTTTTTTTGCAAAACTGGGCCACTGGGCTCATTTGAGATGATCCAGACGTTGCTCTGACGTCATGCAGACATATGCAGCGATGACTTCAGGAGATATTAAGGGGCTGCAGCTGCTCTCCGTCGATTACACAGCCTCAAAGCATGATGGGGAATTCACTCACCTATTCAACACCTGATTGGTTAAATATTAACTCAGCAATATGACACTTAATAGCAACCTGTCAGTTTTGTCCAATTTTGACTTTATTAGTCCAATTTTTAAAAAGTTTATTCTACTAACAGATACATGTGTGTTTGATGGTGACATTTATGAGTCAGAGAGGCTGAACACATCCAAATTAGAAATCATAAACAACACACAATATACTTTTAAAGTTCTAATCTGTATATTCAGATTTGGCTAGTTTAACAGTCAAGGTATTTCAATAACAACAGGAACAAAATCTGAATTTATGAAGCCCTGTCCTGTTAGACAGCAGGTGAATGAAGACGAGAAATTAAGGAATGACCTGCT